AAATCGCTAACCAAAAAATACTGTGTGGTCCGAACTGCGAACGTTTTGAGATCCATAAAATTCGAACTACTTGTGAACGAGTGAGTCGTAAATTCTCTATAAAGTTAAGTTTATACAAATTCGGACCTTTTGTTTGCTCGGCCCCGCCATAAATATGTAAATGATAGAAAACTATTCATAAGTGGAATTCATAAATATTTTAGTGATCGTAACATCGAAAATATGCAACGGTGAGCTTCGAAACTCGTTTGGATTGGGGTCGGATCAAGTAATGACGCGTACGCACAAAAAAATGTTATTCTACACTGCACATGTTCCTATACCCCCGCCGGGACGAATGGGGATTTCTGCATTTCACTGATAAATGCGTGAATGTTGGGCGTTGTCCTCAAAGTGTATTTCGTGATTCGATTTTCAAATTGTTAGTTGTCTTTAAACATTCGAAGCTTTTATTATTTTAAAAATCGAACGTTACTTACTTAAGTAATATAGTCTATGAATTGAAAAGAAAATGAGGAGGAGAAAGACAAAAGTCTAAAAGCAGATGGCCTAGTCCACATGAAGACAAGACAGCCAGAGCGAGACAGCGAATACGAAGTTTTTCTTGCATTTTTTGCTTTGCCTTCGAAAATTTTATTTTTAATACAAGAAATTCTAAAGATACGAGCAGGTAGACGCTCGCAGGGTGTTTGGGTAATTTTTTTATCTCGCCAAGAATGCAAGTTGATTTACGATCTTGGTGTCTGACGATTTGTGACTCTGATGCGTTTTGTCACTAACGGAGATTTGATTTATTAATTTATATTAGGGCGTGATCGTGTTTTTGACAGTTGCCACTAACGTGTAATTTTAGTGCGGGACCTGTTATTTCGTTCGGAATGATTTGTCTTCTAAATCACGGGTCACTTATGTTTTTGTACGAGACGTCATTCTATTTGATTAATCAAGTATTCCTCATTATCTGTGCTGCAAAAACTGACAGTACAAATTAAGCTAAATTGTAAATTCATCTGTACAGATGAATGATGAGTGGCGATTGACGAAGAAAGTATAGCTGTTTGTTTGTTTGTTTACGCCAGACCACTCAAAATTTCTTAGTTTTTTCTTTGTTTTTGTGTAGTGCTGACGGCAGGTCTGACATTTAGATAGATATATTATACATAAATTACTAAGGAATTAGGTTTATTAAACATTTAACTCAATGAGTTAAAGCTTAATCCATCGCACATGCAATAAACTTGAAACATACCGCGTCTCCACTCGTGATTACACCTTTACGATCTACTTTTCAACCCTCTGATCGCGTTAATGGCCGAAAAACTGACCTCCTGGTCCAAATTACCCCCAGGGGGACGCTTAAACGCCCGGATAACGCAGGGAATATGTGATTTTAGCGTTCAACTAAGCTATTAAGTGCACACTTACATAGTTCTTGATTAGACAAAAGGTATTAGACAATTGTATACATATATAGCTTTGGTATATAGGTGGCAGCGTTGGCCTAGTGGCTTCGGCGTGCGACTCTCATCCCTGAGGTCGTAGGTTCGATCCCTGGAAGTGTACCAATGGAGTTTCTATGCGCATTTAACATTCGTGAAGGAAAAAATCGTGAGGAAACCGACTTGCCTTAGACCCAAAAAATCGGTGTGTGGGGCACTGGAGGCTGATCACCTACTTCATTATTAGATCGACAATCATGAAACAGATATATAAATCTGAGGCCCAGACCTAAAAAGGTTGTAGCGGATGTGTATAAAAAGTGTATAAAATAAATAAATCAGTGGGATTTATTTATTTTATATGGCACTCTCGAAATGTTTCTTATTTTTGATGACGTCAATTTGCATCGCGTTGTCATAGACAATTCGAATACATCGGAAAATTATATCGGTTTTTCAGAATAGCCCTACAGCATTATAAACATACACGCAGTGACGTAAGCAATGACGTCACAGAATTAATCTCCCCAAACCGATCGATTATTTGATCAAAGCGTTTATATTTCGGGGCTGACTGATGAAAAACTGTTTATTTTTAAAGTACGCGTGTTCCCCGATTTTGTATACAATCCCTGAATGTTTATTTGTCCGCACTTGAGATACAAGGGTAAAATCGAATAAATAAATTTGCATTCATACCCGCCATATTTAATTTTGAAACGGTCAACGCACTTATAAGCGGTCAATACGTTTTAATAAAAACTCTTATGTTAAAACCTATTTGGAATACAAAGATTATTTAGTCTATGAAATTGAAAGATAGAGTAAAACTAGAAGAAATAAAAGACATGACATAGTTTAGACATGCTGTTACTTAGTGAAATACTGAAATGCAAATGGACAGGACACATTATGAGAGAAGACAAAGATAAATGAATGAATAAAGCGACGGAATGGCTTTCTAGCTATGACAAAAGAAAACGATGAAGACAAATATGAAGATGGGAAGATATAAGTAGAGCAGGTGGACCAATGTGGCTACGTAAAGCTAGACACCGAGAAGGGTGGAAGCTCTTAGAGGAGGCCTATGTCCATGGAAAAGCTGTTAGATTAATTATTATTAGTGTTTATAGTACTTCACATTTTTATGTAATAGGATAAGCATTTACAGCAATAAAGGCTATTATTATTATTATTCATTCTAAAGTATAAACTTCATGCCAAACAAATACTTAACGGGGATTAATATAAAAACGTTTTTATTGAAATTATTATTCATTTTTACTAAACGTTTATCGTAAAGAAGATTAAAATAAAAAAGTTATACATCTGCCCCTTAATCCTGCATCTTTCGCTTTTATATTTGTATTCATCGATAAAAACTTGAATACATTCTTAATTTTATCAAAACATTTTTTTTCTCTCCAGCCAGTTTTAGTCAAAATATTCTTCTTTTTAAAAATATGTAACCTTTTTGCTTATATTAGTAGTCTGTACTCTTAAAAAAGTTTTTAAATTTACAAAATTTCAAATTTTTTTATTATAATTGGCTCTGGTATAATTCTTAACTCTTTTTCATTACTTTTTACGTAGAAAATCAAGAAATATATTAATTTCGCGCTATTTTTAAAACTATAGTCAACCCTTAACAACCACAGACGTGTAAAAAGCATATGAATATTGCATGCTCTTTTTAATCCCCCAGAACCCCTGGGGGTTAAATTAAAGTGTAATGGTGCTATGTTTAATAACTTATCTGCGGGTGAGTTTTGTTAATATCATTTATAAGTTAATACTATAAAGGGATCGGGGTCCGTGTTTGCATGTTTGTTTAATACTTTTATATTTTTGTGTTTTGCTTTTGTTATAACAAAACAGTTTCTTTTAAAGGATTTATTGAGACAATCGTAACCGTTAATTTTACCTCACCGTAAGGTAATCGAACCTACGACCTCAGGGATGAGAGTCGCATGCTGAAGCCACTATGCCAACGCTACTCTATCTTCTTCGCTTAATCATTGTATTATAAACGATAAATAGAAAGTCGATGAAGCATTAAAAAAGACGTCAAGTAATTCCGTTTAATATTCATTAATTACGTTCCTTAATCGGTCAATCAATCAATTAATGATTTTATTTCAATCTATGATATAACACAAGTATTTTTTTAATTATTCCTTTTCTCAGAGAGAAAGGTTTTTTTGAGGTAAAAATAAAAGAATACTTGAAAATTTAGATTTATTTATTTAAAAAACATCAGTGGTGCTACAACCTTTTAGGTCTGGGCCTCAGATTTCTGGATCTGTTTCATGTTCATTTGTCTAGACAAGTAGGTGATCAGCCTACTGTGCCCGACACACATCAACTTTTTGAGTCTAAGGCAAGCCGGTTTCCTCACGATCGTTCCCTTCACCATTCGGGCGAATGTTAAATGCGCACATTGGTGCATTACTGGCGATCGAACCTACGACCTCAGGGATGAGATTCGCACGCTGTAGTCACTAGACCAATACTGCTCAAGTTTTATTAATAAGTTAGGTTTTTATTCCAGAAAAGCGAAAAGGCTCCAAAGGGTAGCACAGTAATTTTCCATATGTTTATAGCTACTTAAATTAAGGCGAAACTAAGTTCGCGGGGGCAGCATGTATATATTACTATTAAAATTAAAGCTAGCTAGCTAACAGCTGACATTAATACAAAAACTTTCATAATTAGCAAATAATCTATGGCATTTTAAAAATTAAAATTACAAGCTGAATTAAATTGAAATAAAAACTGGTATTCCATAATTACAGGGCAACACTGTCTAGGGTTGCGAGGGTAAATTAATTTTTAGTTACAGTTCGTATTGAAATAACCTAGCTCCATAATAACAGGCGGCATTGATCAGGTTAAACATGTATATTAAGGGGGGCTTCTTTGTTAACTGATAGTTAATTTTAAATATGAAAAACGGATGTACCTACTACTTGTTATTTTCATTATATTTTCATTTATTTTTATGTAACAGGAGGCAAACTACCTCGCCTGATGTGATACCGCTTATGGACTCACATCAGAAGCGCGTTGTCAGCCTTTTAAGGCTGTTTTCTTGAAGGATCCTAAGTTGAATTGGTTCGGAAATACTTTAGTGGGCAGCTGGTTCCACAAACTTCCTTAAGAAACGCTCAGTTGTGAAACGACGGACGTCGAGGTGATACGGATGGTATTTTGTATTCTGCCTTGACGTCCGATAAAATCTAATCAGAAAATATATCTGTAACAAGTAGTCAAATGGGGTCTAAGGCATATTCCCTGGAGTAAAAGGGAAGAAATGTACCTACTTGTAAAAAAGAATCAAATCGACACAAGCTGAACCACGAGCTCGGTAAATTTGTTATCTATGCCTAGAGGTAACCAGACTAAAATTGTCTATGACAAAATGAATACACCTCTCGCTTCGTTTTAGGCGTTCTAAATTTAAAAAGAAAGCGAAATTCGTAATTCAAATAAAGAAGCCTGGCGATAAATTCAAAATGGCGAAAACGATTTACGTTTTAGAAAATTAAACACATTATACAATTAGCAAATATATAGTTCGTATAGCCTGTAATCCGCGTCAGCTGGTTTTGACCCACCCTTATTTACCGCACCCCAAAGACCCACCATTGCCTTATTCTCAAACCGTCTCAGGGTCCAACGTATATCGGTTACCTCGGCAAAATTACGTTGACCCCATAAAAGTACCAGCGCCTTAAACATTTCATTTGAAATACGTTTGCGGCGGGTCAACTTACTTTGGTTACGTCAAATGCATGTGCTTTTTATTTTTAGGGATAAAGGATATGTAGGTTTATATGGGGATTGATAGCAATGGGCGGCTTTAGATTCGAATACCGGTTAAAAACCCTTAATATCATATTTTCCTCTTCCCTTTTATACCAAGATTTCATAGGTAATGTCAGGCAAGGAAAGAAAATACTGGAACTTCTATGTATAAGGCATGAGTCTTATTATAGACAAGTAAAGAAACCTGTGCCAGGGCCTCGACGGAAGACTCCAGGTCGCAAGCGGTGGTTGTTTGGAAAATAAAATAATTATATTTAATGTAAACGCAGAGACAAGGTCGGCAACGCACTCGCGAGTCCATGGGCGGCACTATCACTGAACATCTGGTGAGCCTCCTGCCAGTTTGCCTCCTGTTATATAGAAAAAATACGGAATTCTTTACAGATTTCTAAACGAGCATGTAAAACTATTTAGATGGCTATTTAATCTGCAATAGAATTGTCAGTTTTTACACAAGAAACGTCAAATAACTTTCCTTTTACGCAGTCGGTGAACGCGGCGAGCGAAAAGCCAAGACGTGTTGTGTGGAATGCGCCTGCGACTCTTATAATTACACCGCGGTTTATACAGAATGTTTCTTTATTAACTTAATTATTTATAGGTCGCTTTTTATGTTCATAGCGAAGTATTTTAAGTGCCTTTGATACTTTATAGACAATTTCTCATCTTCATTCTAATATTCTCTCGTATATATACGTTTTTCATGTATAGTATGATTGTAAAAATAGATGAACCAAAGTGATATATGTTTATAAAAATGTTTTTAAAAACCGCTCTAATTCTAAACACCCTGTAACAATATTTATGTCATTATTAACCGGTGCGAATTAATACTCATTTGACGTCCATTTTTATCGCGAGATGTCAAAAAAATCCGCCATACCACCGCCCGCCGCTACAACTTTTTACAACGAACCGGCCGGCACCGAAAAGGACATTCGTGCTTTAAATTACAAAAGATTTTAATTATATTATTCATATAAGTAAACAGATTAAATTGGAGTCAAGCCGCAGGCGAAGGGTAGACTAGGTATGAAATTCGAGAAATTGACCAATCACATCACACCGTGCCCATCATTGGCGCATTCAAATTTCGAACCCTCCGTTCCGTTCGCGTTCCCTAATCAAAAATTCAAAATTTACGAATTAGCCAAGCGTAACGATTCGAATTTATTACGTAGTTTTCATGCAACTGTCTTTATCGTTGAATGGTTTTTGCATGTTTGACGCACTTTCTATTGGACATGGGAAAAGATTTTTTAGGTCTGGGCCTCAGATTTTTTATCTGTTTTATGATCTAGGCAAGTAGGTGATCAGCATCTGTTGCTGTTAACTGTTTGGGTATCTCGGTTTCCTCACAATGTTTTCCTTCACCGTTCGAGCGAATGTTAAATGCGCATATAGTCCATTGGTGCACAGCTGGGGAAAGAACCTATGACCTAAGGTATGAGAGACGCACCCTGAAGTCACTAGCGCACTGCTCAAAGTTAAGACTATATGACTCAAAACTTGGCGATTAAATGTGGCGGAGAGTTTCTTGCCAGTTCTTCTTGCCCGCTCTAATTGACTTGCGAACTGGTGGTGGATTAAACTAAATTTATATTTAGAATCAAATTACCATCTTTTCTGTGTACTTGTTTATGAATAGAGTTATTTTGAGTTTGAGGCTTTTCAAAAAAGGAACGAACATTGTAAACCCGTCTGACGTCAGTGTTGAAATGTTTAGTCCATCGGCATATTAATCTACAAAAACGACGTGTCAGACGCTAATTGAGTGGCTCACGCAATCGCATGGGGTTCAATCAGGACACGAATTGCCATAATAAGTCAATAACCTGTAGTTTTTAAGAGTACATTGTTGTAGTAAAACCTCACCTCTCATATGTCTCCAATTTCATTATTATTATGGCAAGAAAATAATTTTTTTACGCAACATTTTGTTACGGATATTTTTTAAAAAACAGGAGGCGAACGGGCAGGAGGCTCATCTTTAGTGATATGCCCATAGACACTCAATGCCAGAGGGCTCACGAGAGCGTTGGCGACCTTTTAAGAATTGGTACGGCATCCTATGGAATATAGTCCCAGCAAGTCACAGTACATTTCTATAATTAAGCATCTTCTGTTTTAGGCAAGAGATATAATTGATAAAATTAATAACAACACTATAAAAGTCGAATTGGTTCGGAAATAAAATTGTCTATAGGTACATAAAAAAGGAGAACGTCCACAAGAAACCGGAGAAGATGGAATAAAAGGATAAAAGAATTGGAAAATAGTAGCGAGGACGATAGACAAGTAGAAGAATTTGGAGGAGGCTATTTCGTCGGAGGTCATGTTAAACATAATGACATGGACTTAATGTAATCTAATGTAGTACTCGAATAGAGACTATTTTTATTTTATTCACTTTAATATATTAAAAAGAGTGGCGGAGAGTTTATTGCCAGTTCTTCTCTTCCGTTCTACGCCCTTGATTTGAGAACTGTCAGTAAATGTAAAATTAGAAGCATTTAATGTATTATTTCTTTTTTGACGTTCATAAGTTCACATTGTGTTACCTATATGAATAAATGAATTTTTGACTTTTAACTTTTGAATAGAAAGATTCTCAACGCTCCTATGATTTAGCTTCTAGCTATGTTGAAGTAATAAAACATATTGCAATAATAATTAAGTATAGTGTGAAAATATCTCGCACAAATGGTTTTATTATCGCATTCCAGTAACTCCGAGCAATGACTCGATGTTGTTTTTGTGTACTCAATCAGTTCCGTGTTATTATAATAAATAACATATAAAAAAAATAATTACGAATGCAAAAGTGTTTGTATTAGACCATTTTATCATAGACCAGAAAAAAAAATCAAATAGGTACTAAATCCACATTCACTAATGTGTCCATTTTATCAAAAGACTTTATCCCATACGCACAGCTGCAGCGACGCCATATTTATTATTTCCGTGCGAAATGGATCATGGCGGCATAGAGCTCAAATTGCGCGCCAAATCCCTTAACAATAGACAATAGATGCTTTAAACGAGACGACAGATGTAAACAAACAGACAAACGAAAAGAGCAGTGATGGGGTGAGTCGTGTGCTCCACAATGTTAGTGTAATCACTTGATTTTGGGACCTCAGAAACCAAGGCAGGGTTGCCAGTACTTAATTCGCCAACTTAAAGTGTTAGGTTACGATTTACCAGATAAAGTTACCGTATGTTCTTCATTATTTCAATGAGTTATGTATATTTAAACGTATATAGGTGCATATATTATATAGCAGTGTTGGCCTAGTGGCTTCAGCGCGTGACACTCATCTGTTCTGGTTCGAACAGCTGTGCAATGTACTTTCTATGCGCATTTAACATTTGCTGGAGCGGTATAGGAAAACATCGTAAGAAAACCTTAGACCCAAAAAGTCGGTGTATGTCAGGCATAGGAGGCGATTAAAAAGAGTGGCGGAGAGTTTATTGCCAGTTCTTCTCTGGCAATAAACTCTTTTTCTTGAGAACTGGCAGTAAATGTAAAATTAGAGGCATTTCTAGTATATTTCATTTTAACGTTCATAAGTGTACCTATATGAATAAATGATTTTTTACTTTTAACTTTTTGATCACCTACTTGCCTATTAGATTGACGAATGATCATGAAAAAGATACAGAAAACTGAGAACTAAAAAGGTTGTAGCACTGATTTATTTTAATTTTATACCCACAGTATTTAAAACGAAAATGAGCAATAGACAAAGTAATAAGACAATAAATAAGTCACATGTCAAATAAGTCGCAAACAAATAGATATTGAAATCATAATAATTTAATCTTTTACACATAATATCTTTGCCTTATCTTCTATACATCTTTATAATTTAAGACATTAAGGTGTAAATATATTCAACGACTAGCCTGCATCTTGAATAAATGAATTTTAATATAAATAATTAACAGTGTATTTCTAATTGTCGCGGCAATTTGTGTTTTGGGTGCTCTTTCCAAATTATCTGTGGCTGATGAAATCTGTGGTTGTTTGGTTTGTCTTTGATTTAATCTATATTTGAAAACGTGACTTGTTTATTTTTAATACAGGTTTTAGATAAACGTTATAATGAATTCATCAACGTTTTGTTATCTATAGTTAAATAAATGTATGTTCTTAAGTAAGCAGCGTTAAGTGGCAACATTCCTAAATGGTTATGATTTTTCAACGTATCATTTTAAAAACAGTAGACAGTTTTAACCCGAATTTGCGGATGTTAGCAATTATAAAACCGGTACACACTAAAGATTGAGTGGTATTGTATAGTGCGTGGGAACAAAATGTTTTTTTCTTAGGCAATTAAAACCTATTGAAGCAAGTCATTAATATATTAACAACCGATAATTTTCCGTAATAGGTATCGTGTTTTTACACACTAATTAACACCGCTCGTCTAGTGCAAAATATTCGCCCGGCATTCCCCACATTCCAGGCCGAATGTCTTATGACAACTTACTCAGTTGACAGTTGACAGTAAAAAACGCGCGCAACGCAACAAGTGACCTTGTGACGCGACACTTTTTCTATGGTGTATACGAGTCGTTTTCCGTGTATCGCTCTCAATGAATCTACGCGTTGGCCATTAAAATTCCAGCAATTATTTTTCATTATACATGCTTCTCCATTTAACATCACCAATTATTTAAGACGCGGTGTTAGTGTCGGTAGCGATTTTCCATAAATATTTTATTAATCGATTCCGTACGTATTCATAAAAAGTTAAGAAATAATCGAGCCACGACCGCGTTCGGAACTCGTTATTTTTTTCACTCTTTTAATTTCTCGCTCCACAGATTATAGCAGTTATTAAAACTACGTGTTACGTTGTTCTATGTTAATTGAGTTGCTGTACGACAAATGTTCATTAAAATATCACTCGTGTGTTTTATCTTTCACTTGATAAGTCCATGGGTCTCATTAAATTCAGATCGTATGGCAAGACAAGTATTTAATAACGAACGCAATACCTGGCCACATTAAGAGATAATAAAAGTGGTTGCGTTCATAAAACGGTCGTAAACTTGACTCGAGGTGTAATCAGATAATTTTTATTTTGATAGTATATAGAAGTTAGCGGCAATAAAAACATCGAGTTGACAATTTAGGCACTCGATAAGCGGTCACTCGATCGCATCACTACGGCAGTGATGTGCCGCGAATGTATCGATGACAGCTCAGGATGACAGTATCACAACTAAACCGATCGCTCGCCAGAGAGCACTATATCAATCACTCCACAATCGTACCGCATGCCACTTAAATAAATTTATAACATATTAAGTACGTTGAAAATAAACACTTTACCGTTTATGATTTATTTCGTGCGCCGATGAATTATGAACGTTACTTATTAAAGTGCTCTAGAGCGGGAGGTCCGAATTTTTATCTCTTTTTGCGGAGATTTCACGTGCTACCGCCGCCGATAAACGTTTTATTGAAGTAATTAAAAAGAAGCGATTAGCTTACGCGTTACATGTGCGTACGGATGATAAATATGACAGCTAACGGCCCGATCGCCAACCGATATTTCAACTACAATCACTAACTGTCGCCCGATACAGATTCCATTATATTTATGTAACAATAATACTTATTAAATGTCATCAATCCCGATTTATCAGACCTAAGTCAAGAGACATAAATAAACATGAACTGGTCAGTTCTCTGACACTGACATTATCTAGAAGCTATCAAGAGGTCAGACAACTTGCAATATTAAAGCTATTAATACAATTTAATTTCAATAATTAGCTCACAATGGTGTCTTTGACTGATAATAAGTTATTAAATGAAAGTGAAACTTGTCGATACAAAGACGCTTCCGGCGTTTGACATTTGACGCAAAAGTGACAGTTTTTTTTAAATTGCATCCTACCGCAACGTGTCAACGCCTGTTAGGGCATTGTGGGGTAAAAAGTGAAAAAGTATTGTGGTTTAATAAATTTATACAAGAAAATTATATAGCTGTTGATTGTCGGTCTACCAGATTACCTGTTCCGACCGAATTGCAACAAAATGACTCCATTTTAGTTCTTTCGAGAGCTTTTTATCGAACAAATAATAGGTGTCCCTAAGTGCATGTTGATTTGTTGTTAAAACCGCAAAATGGTATTTCGTAACAAAGCCTTTCTGTATTGTTATTTGTAGTGATTGAAACATAAAAGCTCCACTTTCTTACGATCGCAAATGTTATTATTGTAATATAAATAATCATGGCGCACAGCGTATTGAAAATCAATTTACAAATATTAAAATTTTACGTTCGCGCCGAATCGATTATACCTAAATTACTTTACCGTACAAATGAGACGATATTGAAACCAAACAAACAAGCATGACAATCAATACGAAACTCCGATAACAGATTTACCGTTGCTAATTACACTTTATACTTATTAAAGGCATTCAAGAAATTGCCTCCGTTGATTTACGCCGGCCATTTTGCGCGACATTTTAATATCCGAATGCGTTCGCGCGCTTTTTTTACTTTTTTAATTCTGATGGAGGCAGGTGCACAAAGTTATACAGACTCGCGAATCATTTTCAAAATGGCTCTGTGGATTCGGATTGGGGTTGCCTGGATTTTTATTACTGTCTCGTTTACTTATTTTCTAGCGGAATTGGACGTTGTTAAAGCGTTAAAATCCTATTTGGAAGTTTGAAATGTAATCGAAGTTCGGAAGAGATGAAAACTTTTTGTTTCGCCATTGCGGTAGCTATTCAGACGAACGCATTGGGAAAGTGTCATGAGAAACCAGAGTTTATTTTATTCAATACAAACTTTACTTAGCAGAATACAGTAAACTTTGCCTGCGTACCTAATCTATGACAGATCTATAGTCTATGTTCTTCGTCTTTTGTATAATCTATGTTTTAACTAAACTTACCTGTTTGCTAAATACTGCGATGTCTTCATTGAAGGATTCTGACGAGCAGACGTCTCCACCAGCGACTCCAGGGTCACGTGGTGTGCATGTGGCTAGTTCGCATTTCTCGAAGATCAGCGCCAGGAGGGGGAATAAGGGATGCCTGGAAAATAGAAGATACATTTTAATCACGTTCTATTGACCTGATCAATATTTAGTTTAATTTAACAACCATATTAATTAATTAATTAAATTATCATAGAGTTTTGAAATAGATCATAGAGTTTTAATCAACTTTATTCTATATTCTATGGACGCTACACTATGGATCTTGGTCTCGCATCTATGTCATTGATATTTTTATTATCACTGCCTCCTATGCCTGACCACCCATTCTAAATCAAGCCATAATGTAAGAACCACCAGAAAAACCTCAACGTTAAGATGTATATCCAGCAAAATACGCCATAAAGGCATTAATTGAGGTGCATAGAAGCCGATTAGATGGAGATATACCGCACGTGATGGTGATACCATCACACCATTGTGCGGCGGCACTTACCGCGGGAATCTTTAGACTTTAACTAACGAATAGAAAATCTATATTTTAAATGGACAGGAGGTTCTACAGTATTTTATAGGCTCGCGGGTGCGTTGCCGGCCTTTTAGTAATTGGCAATAGGTAGTAGTAACACGCGACTTTCACTGTGCCGTCAGTCAAATAATGCCCAAACAAAAACGATTGCCGTTTTAGCGGGATTTGCACCGGTTTATTGAATAGTATTCTGAATTAAAATGAGCAGTGTTGGCCTAGTGGCTTTAGCGTGCGACCCTCATCCCTGAGCTCGTAGGTTCGATCCCCAGCTGTGCATCAATGGTCTTTCTATGTGCGATTCAACATTCGCTCGAACGGTGAAGGAAAACATCGTGACGAAATCGGCTTGCCTTAGACTCAAAAAGTCGGTGTGTCAGGCACAGGAGGCCGATCACCTAATTGCCTATTAGATTGACAAAAAACAGATACAGAAATCTAAGGCCCAGACCTAAAAAGGTTGTAGCACCGTTGATTTGTTTTTTATTTTTTTCTAAATTATCATACTAGACAGACAAAAATATAGACAATTTAATTTTTAATAATCTAAACGATTGACCCAACCGTTACACAAGAAATACATATTGTGTAGTAAATACGCTTTATAAGGTAATAAAATTGTAATAAATGCGGGCAGCTGATTGCGCCGGCGATTAACCTTTAAACAATGCATTTGAAATACTATGTAAGCTAGCATAGGCAAGCGATTCATAGCTTTTAATATATTTATTTATAAACACTTCTTGGAACCGAAATGTAATACAAATAAAAAGGAGGGCAACTGGCGGCCTTATCGCTTTCGAGCGATCTCTTCCAGGCAATATTATAAAAAATATAAACAAGGTTAGAAGTGCAAAAATACCTAATACATGTAGACAAAACTGAAACCGGAACAAACACTAAAGAAAAAGTATCTATTAATTCTAAAAAGAACTGTGTGTATTTCCAACACACAAATATCCAGTATTACTACATAGTAAAAATAATAATTATCAACGCTAGCAGTATCTCGCTGTATTGCGATATTTATTTGTTAAGGTAAGCATCAGCTCTGGGGTCCGGTAGCACCAGGCGGTGACTTAAATCTTTAATTAGCTGGTCTGGCCTAAGCCGAAGAGTCTCTACTCCAGAGGGAACAAAATCGAAATTGGAGGAAAGTCTCTTCTTCGTTATTAGTTTCCTTTTTGATGATTATTTTTATTCCTCTTTTTCACAACCAAGGTTAGTGGTATTTTGGGGCTATCTGTATGTTTATAAGCAAATCTAATATATAAAATTCTCGTGTCACAATGTTCGTTCCCATACTCCTCCGAAACGGCTCGACCGATTCTTATGAAATGTTTTATCTTTTATTTTTTAGATAAAATTTTGTTTTTATTTTTTTATGATGCCCCTCTACGATCAACCCCTATTTTTTATTTGTTAATTAAAATCTTATGACTTTAGCTCCGAGGTTTATATAGAGAAAAATTCACAGAAAAACTAAAAAGTTTTAATTCCGGAAAACCGAATAGTCTCTAGGTTAGTATGTACTAAAAAGGCAGGCTAAGTAAAATCACATTAAGGAGAAACGAAGTTCGCGCAACTAGTGAATTTATACATTTTTTTATTTAAATTCGCTTAGCCGCTAAGTGGAAGCGTTTTACACGCTATCAGTGACACCATACGGTTTGACAAGTTTCGATCAGATAGAAAGTTCGTGCACCGATCCGCGATATGACACCTTTGTTGTCATATCTGCTTCAATTTAACTTTACTGACGCCATTCATTACGACTGATTGTATCGTGACGTCATACCTAAACCTGACTTTACTCTTTAGTCTCTAGATTTTACTCTTTGCATCATCTGTGTCCATTAAGTCCATTCTTAACCAACAAAAAATCACCACCAGACTGTGGACCATCATTTTATCACTGCCTGGAGAGAACCGAATAGTCTCGATGTACCTACCTACTGGTAATGGTATGGAGGAGTGATGGCAGATGAAGTCGGGGAATCTATGGAAATCTATGGAATTAAATATACCATAGATCGAAAAATCTCTTTGATTTGGGATAATGGTACAAGTACCACCCTCCGCTACATATGAAAAACGAAGCACAGGACAATTATGTCCAAAAAACGCGCTCCATGTCATAATAATTTAAATTTGTAAAAGGCGGCAACGCAATCGCGAGCCCTCTGGCATTGAGAGTGCCTCAACCCATTTGTTCTATAAAAAAAGTATGCACTTTTAACGTAAGATCATCGAAACAAGACCATTAGATCTGAACAATGCATTGAGGAAAATCAGAGAAAAAGAAAGAGAAATGGAACTATTTTTTACAACTTTTACTAAAACAACTAATACACACTAAGAAATGTTAATAACCAATTTTTGTATCGATTCATTACTAATAAATAAATAAATGGTACGAATAGGAACTTAAATTTTATATGATATATATTTCGTCTATGTCTAATTAAAACATTATATAACACTAATTAATATGAAACAATTATGAAGCTAATTGATAAACATTGGAAATACCAAATTATAGCAAACGATAAGATTCTTATAAATTTTGTATTTACTTTTGCAAATATCTGCATATAAAGATTTGCTACTGTTTATGATAAATTTAATCTATTAAGATTATAGTATCAATTGATCCTGTTACAAAATATTTTGATAAATATATCAACTAACAAGTTTTCATTGAAACCTCTAACTGTTTAGTTCTGTATCTATTTCGTGATTATTTTTCGAAGTAGGTGAGCCATCTGTGCCTGACACAGGTCTAGGCAGTGTCACGCTCTTCCTTCACCGTACAAGAGAGTTATATGCGTAGGTACATAGAAAGCTCATTCAGCCGGGAATCGAACTTTACCCGGCTGAATACTGTGAGAAGAAATTAATTTAAAAAAAACTAATATAAATATGTTATTACTTGTTTTTTCTCGGACAAGCAAAAAGCTTGGGCGGCCGCAGAGCAGGCAAAAAATAATAAGCGGCTCAAATATAAGTCTTTCCTCCAACTTCAATTTTGTTCCCTTTGGAGTAGAGACTCTTGGGCCGTGGGGTTCAAGTGCACAGGCGCTTATTAAAGATTTAAGTTGGCGCTTGGTAGATAGTACTGGTGACCCCAGAGCTGGTACATTCCTGGCTCGGCGAAAAAGTATCACAATACGAGGAAATGCTTCCAGCGTTAAAGGTACACCAAAAGGACCAAACTTTATAAATTAATTTTAATTTTCTTTTCTTTTTATTAAGTTTTAATTACATAACTATGTCGAATCCATTTTTACTTAAACAAGTGCACAAAGGTTGGTTCAAAATACAGTTTAACTGTCACAGGTTGTATTAAGAATTTAAAAAAATCAGTTTCTAAGAAAAAATATAATTTACGAACAAAGAAACTTTAGTCATCGTCTCATTGCGTAGGTATTTAAGATGTTTACGTCCCAATTGTAGGTATATTTATAACTTGGGGCGTTTCTTACTCTCAAAAAATTTATTTAGTACGCTTAAGCCAAAATACCCTAAATTTGTTCTCAAATCCTGCCTGGAAAAGGTGGAATATTAAGGAAAGTATTACACTTATTATCCAGAACTATTGCTTCATAATTATGAAAGTATATATATAGTATCTTACTTGTAATGGCTCAGTGGGAAGAAGACAGAGAAGACGCCTACCAGAAACTTGGGACGATGGAATTAAAGGGATAGGGCAGAATAGAGAGAAGTGGAAGCATTTGGAGGTAGCCCTCAAACTTGACATCCATCGGAAGTCGAGTACTAGTGTAAAACATGACATGAACTTAGTGTAGTAGGTACTCGAATAAAGGCTATTTTATGTTTTTTTTATATATATTGCATATTTGGTAGGCAACCAAAAATAGAACTTCTATTCCCAATACAATTTCTTAGCTATTATTACTTAATAATAAATAAACAAAACCTGAAGTTTTTTTAAATGTGTAGTAGGTACTTAAGACAATATTAGTTCTGCTTCTACGGAAAACTGAGACCAAGACCATGGGTTGTTGTTCTCAAAGTTTATAGAGTAGCCCTGCAGTTGTATAAAGTAGGTAGGTATATAAAATTTCAAAAGGCCACTTTACCACCCACTCACCCGTAAATGGCATCCTTGTCTCGTTTATGCACTAAAGGCTCGCCGGGTAACGCGTGCGCCGGCGCCGCGGGCGGCGGGTAATGCACTGGGGGGATGTGGGGGTGAGCGAGCCGGTGCTCGTGGTACATCGCCCCACCCTCCATGTAGCCCCCGCCGTGGAGGCTCTCGTCGTACTGGAAATTCAAAGAAAACTGTTAAAAATCTAAATACATCAAAAGTTTTTACTAGCGCAATTGGTATGTAATCTGTGACATAGTCCAATTGGCGCCATTCATACGTTTGATATAAATCTATACAGTTACCCAATACCTTTTTATATTATATAATTTGATAATAAGCACTATACAATAATACATATAGTATTAACCATAATATAAATAAATATATGGTGGTAATTGTGTGTGAAGCATCGGATGGTATTACCCTTCTATAGTTAAAACTAAACGGACCAAAAAATTAATTTTTGGCTTTACATTTTACATTATGCCACAGTCTCACAAATATGTTAAATAAAGACTAATTAATAATACATATAATAATATAAATTACATAATATAAAGGAATAAATGCTGTTAATTGGGCGCGAAGTATCAGAGTATCGCTTCTATAGTAAAACGAGCCGAGAAAAATTTCATTATTGGCTTTAGATTAAAATATTTTCACTAATTCTATCCATTCCAAGTAATAATCTCGTGACGGGATAATAATACGCCAAAAAAGGAAAGCCATCGCAGCCGATAGACACCCATGGCCTTTGATGGAGGAGTATACTCTTTCTTTAAACAATTGAAGGGCGTATTTCCCAGTAAGACCCCCACGGGAAGTCGAAACAGTTCGCTACTTCGCAAAAGAAGTCTTGTGAAGTGGACCATAGACTTTCAGCCATCAAGGTGATGCTGAAGTTTTGAAGTTGAATACAAAGATGGACCACCATGGGCTGTAACGCCCTTCAGGCCCAAAATCATTTAAATTTCTTTAACATCTCGTATGAAATAAACGCATTAAGAGGCCACAATTAAAGGGAACAAAAATCCAATGAATATTCATAGAATCGGTTAAGTCATTGTGGTTGTATCTACGATCAAACCATCAATTAAGGCTTTTAAGGCAGGATTGTGCGCAATTAAAACTAATGGAATATTGTTTTTTTAATTTGTAATAAGATAAATAATTTTATGCTTCGTAAGTGCTCATAGTACAATGCTTGGAGAGTGATTTAAAGGCGTTAATATAAGGAGCAGTGCTGGCCTAGTGGCTTCAGCGTGCGGCTCTCATCCCTGAGGTCGTAGGTTCGAACAGCTATGCACCAATGGACTTTCTATGCGCATTTAACATTCGCTGGAGGAAACAGGCTTGTCTTAGACCCAAACATTCGAGGGCAGGCACAGGAAGCTTCACCACTTGCCTATTAGATTGACAAATGATCATGAAACAGATACATAAATCTGAGACCAAGACCTAAAAAGATTGTATATGTTTTAATATTAGGAATTACGAACTATTTTAGTCTTGGACAGTCGTGTCTTACTTTTTGGTCTAACTTAGTCCTCAGAAACGGCTAGACCGATTTTTATGATATTTTTGCTAAATAGGAAAATAGATCATATACTATTTATTAAGCGGTGGCCCATCCTAATTTATTTAATATTATTCTGATGAAGTTTTTAGTCCGATTAAGATACAAATTTAATAATTTATATCGCTAGCTTTGCCAATATAATAGTACAGCCTTTGATCCTATTATATGTTTCATTATAAATATACTAAAATTAATGAAATAATGTCACGCAAAAAAGAGGGTAGATGAAATAACGATCACAACATACACCTATATAATATTTATATGAATAGGTTAAGTTACAACGGTTAACCATCAAAAACGATGAGTAAGCATTTTTACGGATCGATACGACACACCTGTAGCTATGACACGAACTTTTTTAATAACTTACAAAATTATATCATATTTTCTATAATTTAGTCTAACCCTCTAGATTAAGAAGTATTCTAGAATGTAACTTAAAACTGATTTTAAGAGATGTATTTTTTTCTTTTTTGACATTGACATTTGACAATGGTCTGATTGTGCCTTTAGGGGCCATTCAAGTATTACGTAAGCAGATTTACTGGAATTTATCCTCCCCCCTTCTCTTGTCAGCAAAAGTAAGCAAAGCTCTCAAAAAAAATGGTAGGTACATAAACGTATTATTTTTTGTAGGAATCCTCAATAATGCATTTCGTTTTCAAGCATAGACAATGTGTGGGTAATATGTGTAAAAAAGAAAATAATTACTGTTGACGTAATCACCAAATAAAAAATCAAAGACAATAGTCTTTGATAGTGCTTACGTAGTAGGTACTTGAACGGCCCCTTAGACACTTTTTGGACGGGCCAAGTGATGTCAAAAATGCATTTAAATTTATTAGGCGTACCTACTATAAACGTGTGCTATATAATTGTTCTTTTGTTTTTATGCTATACTAAACCTTCGAAAAGTCTAGCCGAGTTCCATAATAGCGAGATCCTCACATAACCTGGATCCAACGGGAATCGAAAATCTCCAGGTTAACTTCATAGTATGGGGATAAAAACTTTAATTGGTACCTAGTTAAATTAACTGTTAATTTAATTTATAATTGTTTATTACTATAATTATTATAACTAATACTTCCTTATAATAAAAGTTTATACGCGCTAGAAGGGATAATAATGTAGAAGAGAAAAGAAAGAGAAAGACATTATCGTGGAATATATTGTATATAATATTTATATAGGTACTATATTTAGGTATGGGCCTCAGATTTCTGTACCTGTGTCATGCTCATTAGTCAACCTAATAGGCGAGTAGGTGATCAGCCTCCTGTGTCCGACACACACCGACATTTCGAGTATAAAGTTCGCGCGATGTTTTCCTACACCGTTCGAGCGAATGATAAATGCGCACATAGAAAGAAAGTCCATTGGTGCACAGCCGGGGATCAAACCTACGACCTCAGTGATGAGAGTCGCACGCTGAAGCCACTAGGCCAACACTGCTCCTTCCTTGTAAGTACTCGCAAATAAACCACTATAAATCATTATTAATATAGACCGCTTTATCAAACAAAAATTAAGCGAATTAAAACCTTATTCCTTTGACATATGCTCGAATGAAAATCGTGCAATTAACGCTGCAAATTTAAAATAAATTGTCGTTTAAAATTAAACCTTAAAACAAAGGATTACAGTTCAATATGAAAAATGTAGTTGTATTATTAAATTTGTTTTTCATCAAATATGGCGTCAAGTACTTTTATTGGTAGAAACAATATCGCTTTAAATCATTTTATATGACTATTATAGGTATGATAAATCGCCGTTTTATACGGCTGTGAACATATAGTATTTACCTAGAATTCTTAATACTTATCACAAAATTCTAAACACCCCCATCTTATAAGGCAATGACCTAAATGAACATACATATCTGCTATGACTATGACCAAACAATTTAGAATACAAAAGTACAAAATAGTAGTAGATACAGATATTAAATAGTAATAAAAACCACAGATAACAGAGACAATATGAGAAAATAAGTTATCTGTAGGCGCTAAGTCCAAACCGAAACTAGCCATTAACGAAAAGACGTAATGACTGCATTTTGACGTCTTGAGAGCCGGTTTCAAAATTAAATGATACGTTTTAAAAATGGAATCGCTCGGTCCCGCCTTTTTTGAGATAACCTTTATCCCACGAGCGGAAAAAGAATCGTTATTTTTTTTCCATACTTGTGGCTTTTTCTGTGGAGTTCTTTTTGCGATCTATGGTTTTCGATTTATTTTTTAATTAGTTTTATTGAGTTGCCAGTTGTGTGGATAAATAGGTGTATTTTTATCTCTTTAAGTTTCTGAGAATTTGCGGTGATATAAGCTTTTGCGGTTTCGTGTTGGGTGTTAACTTAAATTCCTGAGAAATGGCGATTTCATTAAAATTATGAATGGCCTTTAAGCTTTAACATTAGTCACAATGTCTCAAGCCAAGGCAAAGATCGTGCCTATAAAATGCATGTAAAACGGATACAGAAATATGTCTGTAGTACGTTTTATATATATTATTACTTGTTATCTACATAAATACAACCCAAGAATGATAAATAGTATATGAAAAACGGAGGGTTTCGAAAGACGTCACTTGTAAGCGACACGGGGTGGTTCCACCCTCAGCCCGTCTCTTTCCTACCTATAGACAAATCGTATATCTATCCCGCTCCGAGTCATCTGGCTGGGGTGACCAGTATTGTTGAAATACCTAATAATTATAGAATGGTAGCAATTGTACCTATTAATTTATACGCTGTTTAATTGCTTTAATAAATCATGTATTTTTAAAATGTTATCTATGGCATTCTATACTTTTTGTAATTATATGGTGGAAGAAAGCTGGCAGTTAAAAAATGATTAAAAAAATTGGATTCTTTATTTAAAATTCTCTTATATTTTTGCTATAAATGAAACCCGAGGCTAACGCAGCGCCGCTGAGCTTTACGCTGTGGGTGATTTAACTCTATCCATAGAGCGCAGAAACAATAAATACCAATAAAAACGTCTCGTTCAAAATCGGAACGTCTTAACGACACCTATTAGGGATCCGTCTGGTGTGTTTAATTGAAAAATTGTATCGCAGACGGATGCGGGCCCAGACGACTATTATTCCATTTGTCCATCCGCAGGGACCACGTGTTAATAAAACGGTTTCCGAACCCACCTTAATTATTTAGTGTGAATGGGGCATGGGACACAGTTATTTGTACAAACGAACACGCAAAATGGCATGGTAGATGGGACGTTGTAAGCGGAAGTATAGAAAAGTAATTTATATCAAATGAGAATTCACGCTAATCTATTAACGTACATTTATTTCAAAATGACAACCTAAGGTTTTTTTTTATTACTCAATCCGACAAAAAAGTCGTAACGTAAAAACAAATGCTTTATATAATTTCAATTTTCTTAACAAAACATACTTTAACAATATGTATTTCAACGCATTGCATTATCTATAAACCATAAATCATCAATCTCTTATTTTAATAATGTTTGCACAGACTACGTAGTACGTACGAAGGTTCAATAGCTCTAATAATTGTCTATAAGCTTTGACCGTGGGCTTAAGCAGACACATGGAAAGAAGATCAAAAACTTAAAGGAAAATGGTATGGAAGTATACAAGAAAATTTACTGAGAAGACCCTGGTATGAAGATTATGAGTTGGATACAGTTAGTCGTGAGTTCGTTACCACAATCAACAGATTGCGTTTTGGTCACAACACTACACCCGCACACCTCGCTAAACTTAATATTATAGATAACAATGTTTGCTCTTTCTGCACTAACGAGATCGCAGATATGAATCATATTTTTTTAAATGCCAAAACCAAATTTTCATTTTTAATAGACTACTATTAGCAAGTGAAATAATGGAAGTTAGTGATCCCTCCCGCCGCCAGTTGTGTGATTTGCTCAAAAACAAAAAGTGTTATAGTGCATTATATAAATACGTTAAAAATACCGTAGGGAAGATTTAAGAAAACAAGTGGAATGTTGGAATAAGAATAACATGTGAAATTAAATGAAGGAAAATAAGTGAAATTTAGTGACCGAAAATAAGACTTGGCTTAAAGGTCTCGTTACCAGGCCATAAAATTATTAAAAAAAAAAAAATAAGCAGACACATTTCTGTTGTTTTTTTTTTCAGTACGTACTGAGTGAGGCCAAATAAATTCGCCCTTCTATATTAGGTTCGTTTCTTACTTTTTTGTCCACTATCATAATATTTTACTGTTAGTGTGTTACGACATAATACGTTCATGAAGGTTCATATTTGATATCTTTGTATAAAGGAGACATTTCCCGTCTGCAGTTTAAACGCTTTCCTGCTACAGTACTCAGTAACTTCCAATAGCAATTTCGGACCCAGTTTCGATATAGTTTTAGATATATATAGCGTGCTCGCAGTATAACACAAATTACAGAGTACACACACTAACGATATTACAAATATTGTTAGTTTTTACCAGTTACACGACCCGGTTAATTACAATTTAATAGACTGTTAACCTCAGCCTTAGATTAAATTAACAAATTGATTTAATTCAAAATTGTAAACAGGGGGTCGATAACTGGCATATGAACTAAGATAATATTATCGGCTATTGTAAACATTCCGTTCTCGTTTCCTCTATATAAGCGACAAAACATATGAAAACTATAGAAAAATAAAATGAATACTGGCTGCAAATAAAAAAAAATTAACTCGGCAAATATCGACCAATTGAGTGCTATTTTTTAGGTTATTTTCTACTAAACACGCACAGCAACGATTAAGTTACGTTCTATTATCATACCGTGGGCTTTTAAAATAATGTATACATATATAAATTATAATATTAACATATAGCCACGATATTATTCCATACATAGATTTTTAGTTGCCACCCGTTCGTAGTATGACGAATAAAACAGAAACATAATACTGCTAAAACGGAAGTATGTGACATTTCTAATATTTAATAAGGTACCTACCTACCTTTATTATTAATAACCTACTCAGCTCTTAGTAAGAGGGCAACCAGATATTTACCTATTTTAAATAAAAAACTAGTTCAAAGCATTTAGGCATTTATAACTCAAAGATTTGAAAAAAAGCTGCCTCATCATAAATAACGTTGACATAAAGCCGCCCACGCGCGTCTTATTATCGTGTCTGTCCGTTTGTCCGTTCGTTACCTCTATTGTGCCTGTCTGAATGAGATTAGCCACACCAACTCTTGATTGACTATTTAAAGTCGATTTCTTTGACGGTACCATACTTGGTGCAAGCGTTCATTTCTCTTTTAATATATTCTTATTTATATATATATACAAACAAAAATATTCAATAATTTTGATTTAATTTCAAATGAATTCAATTTATAAATCAATGTCAAAATAACACAGACAATATTAATAAAATTGTTCGAATTTCAAATTTGACAAAAAGGTTTTATATAAAGATTTGATTTAAAAACGCAAAATTCGAATTTCGAATTCGAGCACCAAGAGCGGAGCCGGAGTCATTGTCCTTCCAACCCTTGGCCGATAAACAGCTGAATCACCTCGCTTCAATTAATATTATTTAATGTAGCTGACGTATTAGAAGAATTACATTCGTTAAACAAAGTGTTGTGGGACATGACATGAATATCAACACTTTGTTTTCAGTGATTTTAACGGTTCTAATAAGGTTTCATATTATCTTTTTGGTAGTTTTATGGTTGTTTATAGTATTATACATACTTTATATTTTATAACCAACTAGCGGCCTATCCCGGTTCTTTGTTGTACAAATAACTATAGCCTATATTATTAAGATAAATAAGTCCAGTAGTTTTTGATTTTTTCGATACATATATTCCCTCTTTAATTAGTATAGCAGTATTTTAACCAAACATATAGGTATATATACATTGAAAAGCAAATATGTTGGCCGACCTTTTAAGTTTAAATTGAATAGTCAATTGTTAACTTAAACCGTTTGGGTTATTTATTAGTGTGTGTTCAAACGACATTTTTGTGTCCATCTTTAAATGTTTAATGCAATTAGGAATTCACTATTCGCACCCTAAGAGGATGTTTAAACATTCGGTTACAATAAACTCTCAAATTAACGAATTAACTCTGAATCTAAACTGCGCAATTAACTTATTATTTAACCGTATTCAAATTGGAAACGCGCAAAGAATAATGAACTATATTGTGTCTTGTACTTGTATACTTTAAGTGAGTTGATTATAAAAATGGTTTATTTGATAAACCTTTTCCACATAATATATTTCCTTAAATATCGGTAGGAAATTTGATGTCCGTTCCATATAAATTTTCAAGAAAAAGAAAAAGAAAATATGTTACAATAGTTATTTTGTTAATTTGCAATATAACGATTTGTTAAAAATTTCGGTACATTATAATAAATTTGAACGACAAATAAATTAATTGGCAACTTGACTTAGACATTTTAAACTCAAAATAACACATATGTAACTAAAAAAATAATCGTTTTAGTTTAATAAATGCATAAACTAGCGGCGTTACAACTGGGCCCTTATTTCTGTATGTTTCGTGTTTTTGAAGTGAAACTTCTTTATCTAGGTTGGAAAAAAATTTAGTGTAACATTTTTTCGTTACGCGTCACATTTTTCGGTTACGCGCCATGTTGTTTTTTGAAGTCAAACTTCTTTATCGGCGTTGGAATGAAACTTCTTTATCGACGTATGGGACAAATTTTGTAGCAAATCGTCACGTTTTTCATACTTGATAGTAATAATTCTATTACAATTAATGAAATTCTATAATAATCTTCGTAGTAATAAGGTAAAATGAAATATTTGTATTCATGTCTATGATAATAAAAGCCTTTTGTTAAACTTTATCTAATTTAACGAATTTCTGTAAAGTTGCATATAGTAGATCATTTTTCGAAAAATAAGATCATAAAGTTTTCCTTCTTACGTGTGTACACCTAGTACACGCACAATTTATTTATTTTTTATAAGCAAGTAGATAGTAGGTAGGTAATACGCCTGCCAACGCCGTCGATTTTTATAAGCCATGTCGGTTTTATGACGGTGAAGGAAAATCACCAAACTAGCAGTGTTATTGACAGAAAGTCCATTGATACACTGCCGGGGTTCGTAACTACCATATCAGGGATCAGAATCGGAAGCAGAAGCCAGGCCAGCACTGCTAACATTGGGTATGAATAACAAGACAAACTATCTATAGAGTTAGTTTAAATACATAGGTATGTTCTGAAATAACTATTACACAATTTATAATTGTCAATAATAATATATACGTCGGCTGTATTAGCCAGAGAAAATGAATCCATCTAGGAAATTCATTTGGGTTTTTTGTATAGTTCAGATAAGAATAACTTTTACTCTACCCGTGAGCCGTCGGGCCTGTTGCTAGTTAATTTCCGTTCCTAAAGCTTTCCTAATCATATCTATAAAATAATTAGCAAAATATGCTTAACGCAAAACTTGCGAATAACTGGAATGATTCGAATATTTTTGTTGATTTATTCCATAAACTTTGAGAAAGGTTTTAATAGAGAAACATTGGAAAAAATAATAACTTAGTTTTATTTATTACTTAGGTGTTAATTCTGGGAAAGCGAACCATCATCATCATCATTTATGGGCATAGCAAATTGTTCCATATGTTGGTATGTAGCTACTGAAAAGGTAGACTAAGTAAGAATCATATGAAGGCAAAACTATATTCGCAGTTTAAATTATTTAACGGTAACCCGGTACCAAATAAAAATACCAGTAGATTCAAAAATATATTTTTTAATACGCCTCATTTTTGTATTTAAACAAAGGCCGTAAACGGAAAGAAGAAACGAACGAAACTTAGACACTCAAATTAAATAACATATAGGTATCTGACTTGCAGACAATATTTAAAAAACGTTTATAAAATACTAAACTGTTTATTAATCTAAGATTAAAACTGGACTGTTCAGTTTTTGATGTATATAATATATTATTAGTTAATTGTATTTTTAAATAAATTTCAAACATATTTTAGAAGACCTCTGAGACTGTTAAAACGCTGAAAAAACTGTTAGCATTGTCGCAATTATTAATTTAATAATAAAGTAATTCGAACTGTTGTTTTTCATTACGTGTTACTTAATTTCCTTAATTTTTAACACATTAAAATATTAAATTATTCATAGTCTAAAAATATATTGAAATAAAATTGAAATGTAAAAGACAATAATTTTAATACTGAGAAATTAATTAATTTTATTAACGCTTTGAAGTACCCGTCGGGAAATTGAATTATTAATCTTTATTTATCCAACAAATACATAGTTTCAAATCACAGAACTGTATGCGACGGTTAATTCACCTGGCGCTACTCTGTGGCTGTCACAGGAGTACCCAGAGTCCTTCATTAAACGTAAACAAAGATTTAAAATACCGTTCATTTATATATATTATAATATTTAGAGATTTAGTGTAAGTCTAAGTGGAAGGTATAAACCCGACTTTGTCATAGTTTTTTAATCTCAAGCACCTACGCTAAATTAATTATTAATAGTCATAATATTTTTTTTAATATTTGACAGATGCAGGTACGGCATGATAAGCTATCAGTGATATTAGTGGGCCATCGCCGAATTATCGTGGACAAATTGATATCATAAACTTTATGATACACTCAAAACATTACAACAACTAAGCAAATATCATTACATCGTCATTTTATTCCCCCTTTAATAATTTTACCCACGCGCAATGAGAGAGGTTTTATTAAATAAAACTATATTTTATAAACGGCGCGGCGAAATCGGATAGGTAAGTTTATAAGTTCCAAAAATTCGTGTATTTTAATTTAAAAGACGGGATATATTGTCTAACGCCGTTCGACACCGGCGCAAGTTTTATTGATTTAAAAAGGAACATGCAAGTCGAATCTTGGTCTTAACCAAAAAGTATTTTGTCCGTAAATCTAACAATCGTTACTTGCTCGTAACAACGACATACCCAGTGAGTATTCAAATATAACATACAATTCTATTACACCTTGCACTATAATTCGCAAAATTAACTAAATTATAATTAAACTAACATTGAAACGAATAAATTAGCAATTATGGTGTCTAGAGGCTTTTTTGTTGAGTCAATGACCAGACGGCACGAGATTTAAAAAAGTGATACGCAATAATTAACGATTTGTGTGAATAAAATATGTAATTAGAAACAATATCGGCAAGATTTTTATATCCGTTTATACATATCTATTACTGGGTTTGAAAGACATTGAACGCGAAGTACTGCTACTATATGTATCTACTGATAATACACCATCAAAATACTATAATATTATTTGTAATGTAACGCTTTTAATCGTATTAACGGCTATTAGAACTATGCAATTTGACTTTAGACTTAGACATCATTTATTACCAACAAAATAACACACACAAAAACGAGTCTACGTGAAAATTATCAATAGAAATATGTAACTTCCAATTGTATTTTTATCGTTTAAAATCTTAGTGATCAAGTGAAAGACTGATCGTCCTCAAAACTGTACACTGTAAGAGAGGCGATGGACAGACACTGGTGGAAACATATAGGCCGCTCCAGATGCTTTTTGCTGAGAAGACATGAGCTGCCGATTAAAGAGAGAGAGAGAGAGGACTCTGAGAACGCCTATAAAGTACAGTGTTAATTTAAGTTAATTGTATAACAAATACAATTATTCCTTCTTGGTTTATAGTTGATTAAAACCAACTTGAAAGTAATGCGCTGTATATTTATATAGTATATTCTAAGTATAGTTCTAACGTAACATAAACACTTTAAATTAGGTACAAGAATAAGGATTATGCTAGGCCACTATAATGTCAAATGCTGGCCGTGACATTAATGTCAAATAGGCACAAAGTATTGAATAAACATTAATAATGTCCTTTTATTGTACATTTTTGTAATATATGCATTATTTATAGTTGCGAGAGGTTATATATTTATTATAAATCGTATAGTATTGTTAATTAAGTTATATTAACAGTTTAACGCGGCCTTTAAAATTCTAATTTATTTTTGTATACATTTTTTGTACATTTCACAATGAAAAATAAGTGGAAGTAATAAATTTAATTTATAAATTTGATATAAACAAATAATAAATTGGATATTAAATACCGAGCTACATTACAAATGAAAATTTCTTGTTATTATGATTGTCTGTGATATATTAAAGTAAACATAAATGTAAATACATATTAAATTCAGCTTAAACTTTTC